AACCGATTACAAGGAACTATATGTGACCTCCTCCCTGGGGGACGGACAACAGAAAAGTGGGTGAAGGGAGACGTCGGACAGGGCAAGATATGACTTAATAAGAATTTATAAATTATCAAGGGCTCATAAGGGAGGGGGGAGCGAGGAGGGAGGGGAAAAATAAGTCACTATTACTTTCAATCCGTATCTAAATAATAGTCATAATTGTAGCAATAACATTCATTGAGGACCTAGTAGGCGCCAAGCGTCATGTCTACGTGTGCCATTTTTGATCATTTAACAGGGAGGTACAATTACTATTTGCATTGCAAAGATGAAGAAACAGGCCGGGATGACTTAATGCCTGTCAGGTTTGCAGTCTAGCCAGGAGTGGAGCACAGCAAGCTGGTTAAAAGCCCTTACTGATGATGCCATTCTACCCTCAACCCGTAGGCCGCAAATTCTAAGACCAGTGTTAGAGGCTTGTAAGGCCTCAGAGGCTTACATCTCAGCTCTGTGCTAGCCCCTGGTGGGTAGCTGAAGCGATCTACGATCTCAGAGATCTGACATCGGGTCACTGTGAGTTGGAATCAACTCAGTGGCAGCGGGTTTGGTGTTGTTTTTGTCCCAGGTCTGCAGGGGTCAGTCTCCCTAAGTCAGAGCATGGTGCCCCTTGCCGCTTAGTTTCTCTCTTGAGAGAGCTACACAACCAAGGGAATATGCAGATAATCCCTAAGTTAAAAAGATCAAAGCAAAAAGTAGTCCCTGAGTAAAAAAGACCAAACACTTGTGCCCACCTACCCCACTACTCTGGCTTCATTTCCAGGAATTTCAGCCTCCCCCAGAGTAAGTTGCCTTTGCTTCATGTCTTGCCAAATTGCCAAAGCTCATATGATTGCTACAAGGTTCTTCTGCCCTAGCCTACTTTCTCCCCTTGGCCCCTTGCACTGCCAGTCTATACAACTCACTATTTCATTGTGTATCTGTGCCCCTGCTGTTCCTTCTGCTAGGAATGCATTCCTGCCCAGCCTTTGTCTACCTAGAAAACTCCTACTCATCCTTCAGAACCCAATTCGTAGGTGACAGTTCCTGAGACAGCTTCCCTACTCTGCACATCATCATCAAATTTCTATACCTTGTATATACAATGGGGTTTCAAAAAGTTTGTGGGAAAATTGAACGAAGTAATAAGAATAAGAAGGGTTCTTTGAGGGGAGGGAGGGAGGGGATAAAGGGAAGCTGATATCAAAGAGTTCAAGAAGGAAAAAAATGTTTGGAAACTGATTATGGTAGCAATTGTACAATTTTGCTTGAGCTAATTGAACCATGGAATGTTATAAAATCTGTCAGAGCTCCCAAATAAAATGATTAATGAATTTTTTTTAGTAGGATGAAGATCATAGAATTTTTCCATGATGTCATCGAAGCCTCTTTGTACAACCATATTTCATTTAATCACAGTAGGACTTGTAAGGACTTGTTGACAAGCTTGTCCCACTGAGCAGCCTCTGCAGTCCAAGCACAGGGTCTATCTTCCTACTTATTTCTGAACTCTATAAACCTTACCCAGGTGCCACAGGGTCCCCACTAGTAGAGGTCATTGGCCAAATCCCTGCAGGGAAGTGAGAGCCATTTGAACATGAAAAGATTCCCTAATGAACTGAACTCAAACAGCCCACTTGGCTCTTCTGTAACCCCCATCCCCTGGCTCTGGGCTCTGGTGGGCCAGCAGCTCCGACATGACACCCAGGCCAATGCAGGGTGAAAATGGAGGCGTTTATAAAGTCATGGAGATGTGTGACAGCACCACTGACAAAGGAAGGTCGGGCAAAGGGGCCCCGCCTCCCCTTCCAAAAGAAAAAGCAAGGAAGAGAGAGTCAGCGGGCTGGGAGCAGCAGGAGCAGCAGAGGAGGCCGGGAAGGTCTGAGGAGTAAGCGCATGTGGCAACCAGCCAGTGCTTAACGCCAAACACTGTGTGCCTTGAGCAGGGTGCTCTCGGGAGAGCTGCCCATTTGGAGTGAAGTGTTAACAGGACCTGGAAAGAGTAGTTAGGAACGTAGGAGGCAGTGGGCGTGTGTTGATGGCTAGTTAACTGGGGGGGGGGGGGAGAGGCACACTCATTAAAGGCGACCGGTTGTGGCACCACTCAAACTACTCAGAAACGCACGGGAGGTCCCCGAAGTGGCCATGGAAAAACTGGTAGGAGACGCGGATTCTCGACAACAGCACAAGAAATCAATAAGAGTATTTCCAAGTATGGACAAAAACAGGAACACGTGGCAAGGACACCCAGACTCTCTGGAGCCAAGGAGACTGGCTGAACCCCTAAAACGATTGCCTTGAGATCATCTTTCATCCTTAAATGACAACTATCCCCTGAAGCCATCTTAAAACCAAATAATAGCTTAGCTTCCCCGTGCACACGGTCTGCCTTGAGCCGGGATGCTCTCTTTAAGAACTCGCTCTCGGGGATCCACGTGACAGCCCCACGCACCTCAAAAAGATGCTGTCGGACTCTCACGGGGAGCAAGTTCATGTTCATGGGGGAGGAGAGGATGGGGGCACAGCTTGACGACCAGGCTCAGGGTCACTGAAGTGCACCCACAGAAACTGCTGAACCGGCCTACGTTTCAATAGCCTCAACAGGGATGGAAGCAAAAGAAACAAATCTCCTATGAAGAGCATGTGGCGGAGGAAGCCTTTCATTTCTGCCAAGGGGACCCTCTTCAGGACCACCAGGGAAGAGGCTAGACTGCGGGAAAGGGCGGTGCATTAAGTGACTCTATCATTTTGCCTGAAAAAAAGGAGCCCACTTTGAGAAGTTGTCAAATGCTGAGCTGAGCTGTTAACTCTCATCGAATTCCCAATAAGACACCCCCCAATAAAATCTACTCTAGATACGTTCCTTCTTCATGCTATGATTCAGCATATAAACTTTAACTCTGATCTAAACTGCATGGATTATAAAACAAACGAATCTTCTGTTTATGACTTGTGTTTGATCCATGCTTATTCCTGCTCCTTACAGTCAAGGCATCATCAGTGTTTGGTCTCAACTGTCCTGCAAATTTTGGAGATTATTAGCCAAAATTGCAATTTCCATTATCATTATTTTTTAACTTTAGTGTAGAAAAACCAAACCCTCCTCCTCCTATGAATCAGGAAATAGGGATTTCCCTTTTTTTTTTTTCTGGATAAAAAGGGCTTCCCTTCCTCAATAAACCCCTGCTAAGTTAAAGAGGCCCAAACAGATGCCCCCAGCCTGCACCCCGCCCTGGCCCCAGTGCCCCTCTGAGGTGTCTCACGGGTGTGAGCAGTCAGAACCACCAAGGCCACAGGCACCGGGCTCCCAGCGGCCCATGGGGACCGAGAAAGGGGGGGGGCAGGGGGCAGATGCGTACTTGTAGACGGCGCTGTCCTTCTTGGGGCTGTGCTGCGGCAGGAGGCTGTGGGAGTACTGGTGCACCCCCAAGTCATACAGCGAGGGGAAGTCCTTGCCACACAGGTGGCAGCGGTAGCTCAGCTCCTCCTGGTGGCTCTTGATGTGTTCCAGGAAGGTGTCCAGCTTCGGGAACGTCTGGGCACAGCTCTTGACCACGCATTTGTAGACCTTGAAGGAAGATACAGCGAAGGTGAGGAGAGGTGGGGCCTGAGGAGAGCTGCTTCCACGGCTGCACCCCGCTGCCCGACGGCAGTCACCTGAGACATGGCGGCTGGACCACCACATCCCTGGTCCTGTGCCACCGGAGCCCTGGTTGCCCCGGTATTTTGATCAAAGAGTGTCCTCCTCTAAAGCCACTCACGATGGCCCTATGACCCTGGCTTCTGGGTGGTGCAAACATGTTTATGAAAGTGCTCTCAAACTGGGAAGTACAGCGGAAAGATGACCGCTGTCCTGTCCGCGTCATGCTAGCGGAGTGACCCAGACTTAAGGAGCACCTGGACAACAGATTGGATGGCACCGCTCCCAAACTTTCATTTTCACGGTCGCCTGAGAACGTGCCTTCTTTCCAAGTGTCCCAGGGTTGTGAAGCTGCTGGTCCGGCCTCCTGACGGCGCAGACCCCGGTTCAGAACACTGCCTCGCAAACCTGCCTGAGGGGCACCTCTGGGGCACACTCCTCTCCGTCACTGATTAACATCCAAGCTCGGTACAGCTAAATGTTAACTTTGACAAAGCTGACCGGAAGTACAGGATCTCGTCAGGTAGTTCAAGCCCAAAGGCTGGAGTTTTGATTGCCCTGTCAGATGTAAAAAGAACCCCGGTGGCGCAGGGGTTAAAATTCTTGGCTGCTAACAAAAAGGTTGACAGTTCATACCCACCCGCCAATCTGTGGGAGAAAGAGGTAGCTGACTGCCTCCGTGGAGAGGCTCAGCCTTAGGGGAAAAAAACCCGGGGGGAAGTTCGACCCTGCTCTGCAGGGTTGCTCTGAGTTGGAACTGACTCGATGGCAGTGGGCCTGGGTAAGGCACGAATGAGACATCCATCTAGCTCAGCAATCTCATTTCAGAATTCATCGATATATTGATCCAGAGGTATTGGTTATCTCTGTACTGCTGGCAACCTCCTGCAGATTTATCATCATTTCAGAATAAAGTTGTTTCTTTTTAAAGAACCTACCTGAAAGTAAAAGTGGCATCATTCAAAGTTATCTGCATGCGGGATCCTAATGAGACCTGTAGCTCTGTGTGTTGTACTGCAGATGCTCCAAAAACAAATCCTGGGCTTGGTGCGGCCGGGCCAGGTCTGTTTCTGGATGGTGTGTGATGCATGTTCTCTCAGGAGCACATACAAGCATTGCAAGGGAGTTAATGGCATGGGGCTTGGAGTCAAGGGGCTTGGCTTTAAATTCTGATTCGCCCACTTATTGGCAGCGAGACTTGGGTTGGGTCAGCTCTCCTCTCTAAGCCTCCATTTCCTCATCTGGAGGACAGATGGACTGAGGATGCCCACCTCGGAGGCTGTTTTGAGGATTCAGTATTAAATGTAAAGCATTTAGCAGGATGCCCAGTCCATGGTGAGTTGACTCCTCAGCTCTCTGAGTTTCCCAGTTCTACATGGAGGGACTTGGCACTTTTCTCAGGAGGAAAATCTAACAATGAAATTTATTTTAAAAAATACAAACAGCAGCTGTCTTTGGATAGGAATCCAAAGCCAGGTGCCGGCACAACAATAAAGTTCTTAAAAAACAACAACAACAACAAACTGGAAGAATGACCCTATGACCCAGCAACGCTGCTCCCAGGGACACACATCCAAGAGGACGGAAACGTGCTCACACAAAAGCCGCTGCCCGGGCATTTCAAAAACGCAACACAGGAGTGTTTATAGGAACATACTCCTAACAGCCCAAATGGCCTGTCAACCGATGAAAGGACAAACAAAATGTGGTATATCCAGATAATGAAACATTGCTTCACCATGAAAAGGAATAACGGTGAAAGGCAAAACCAGCGGTGGGGCTGACGCTTGGATGCATGCGACGGCGCAGATGCTGCACACTGAACGAGGGACACGGAGGCAGGCACCGAAGGGCCCGTGCTGCATGTCGGGGCTGAGCAAAGCCACAGACAGACAGCAGAGCGGTGGGGGCCGGGGGCTGGGGAAAGGGAGGCATGAGAAGTGGCTGCGGAGGGGCACGGGGCTGCTTCAGGCATAGGAACGGTGCAGGAATGTGGTGATGGCTGCACAGCCTTATGAGCAAACTACAAGCTACAGACATGCACTTTCAAAGAAGAGAGCTCACAGTGAATCGCAGCTCAGGAAAAGATCTCAGGGTGTCAATGACTGTTCTCCCTGTGCCTCGTCACCCCACCTCCCACTTCCTTCGTCACCCCACCCTCAGGACGAAGGCTTTCGCCCTAGGGCTACCACCCCAGTGGCTCGGCAAGCTGGCCTTATCCAGGGAGAGGAAGTCCGACCCCTCCTGAGGGATACAATGGCATCCAGGGCCCGCCCACCGCCCCCTTCTATGCACCGTTCAGAGGTCCCAGCACCGGTCAGGGCTCATGACAGGGTGGCTGTGGGTGGCTGCCACCTGCCTACCTGCTCGTTTTTATGCTGGGTCATGTGAGACTTGAGCTGGAAGTAGGTGCTGAACTTGCTGGGGCAGAACTGGCACAGGTAGGAGCTGTCGATGAGGACCACCTGCTTGGTCTCCAGCTTGTCCCCCTCATCCTCACCTTCCGTGGGCAAGGCCTGGGCCTGAGGGGTGCTCGACAGGGTCTGGCCCAGCCCTGTGGGAAAAGCCAGAGAGCAGTCACTGAGAGGACAGAGAGAGTCAGGACACGGGGAGGACTCACAGAGTGGCTCCCGAATGTCCACCCACCACCTGCTGCGTGCTTGGCGCAAGACACGGGATACGAGACAGTCAACAGAGATGCAATGAGAAGGCCGATACCGAAGATAAAAGACTGAAATAGCCACATAGAACCGAAAACCAAACCCAGAGCACTGAGTCAATTCTGGCACATAACTAGCCTATAGGACCGAGTAGAACTGCCCCACAGGGTTTCCAAGGCTGTAATCTCTAGGGAAGCAGAGTGCCCTGCCTTTCCCCTATGGTGGATTCAAGCCACTGACCCTTTGGTTGGCAGCCAAGTGATTTAACCACTGTGCCACCTTGAGATATCAGCATGATGGTGGTTAAATAGCTGTTGCCTAAAGCCTTCCCTCCCTGCCCTCCCCTCAGACCCTGTAGCCCTCCTCATGGTAGTTAGGAGTCTAATATCCTTCTGAGCTCTACTTACAACGCTTCTGCAGCTTCCTGCTCTAATCATCATTTTCAGGTGCCCCTCCCTCACCTGACCCTTCTTCACACTCGAGGCCTGGGGACCCTGGTGTCATCTTGGTAAGGCCAGCGGCCTGCCACACTAGCGGCCTTCATAGATGGTCACTAGAGGGCTGAACCCTGGGTCTTAGGCACTGTGGAGTTGTAAAATAAATGTTTTTTATCCCCCCAAAGAGCTCACAAGAACTCAGAGGGCACACACTGAACAGCCAGCCACAGGGTAGGGCTAGTTCCAACAGGAGCGCTGGAGGAAGGCTACATAAAAGTAGCCACACATTGTTTGAGCAGCACAACGTCCTCTTCCGGGCTGACCCTGCTCATTCTTAAGTTACTACACAGCCAGGCCGCTGTTCAGCATGGTAGCCACAAGCCACATTCACCTACTGCTAATCTTGTACCACGGCAGACATCCTTAATCAATCACCTATCTCTCCTTGAGCCTGGATCCCACCCCAGATACAGCTAGCCCAACTGCAGATGTGCTCTCGGTGTAAGATAGACACTGCAACTCGGAAACTTGGCATGGGGGAAAAAAGCTGTAAACTATGAGTGATTTCTTTAGTTCTATAGAAAACTGTAGTCAAGAGGAGACAAATGAATGTCAAAATCCCATGAAATCCAGCATCAGAACCTGTGGAAGTAGTAAGTGTTCGCCTGTCAATGCACTCTTAATAACAAACATAACATAAATGTTTAAAAATGTCATTCTACAATGTGCTTGGATATTTTAAATATGCTGAAATAGACTCTGAAACTTAATTTCACTACCACCTCCCTCCCCTCCACTTTTCTCTCTCATTGTTTTCAAAGTAGCCATTGAAACATTCTGAATGATAGACATTATCCCTCTATCGTGGCTAGTGCTCCTCTACATCAGCAAGCTCCTCCTCTGTGTAAGGACAAGGACAAGTGACAGCACAGATGAGAATCCCACATGGTCTGAATGGCCTTGGAGGCTAACTGTCCACAGGGGACCTGATCAACGGATAATGACTGCACTCAGCAATGCATTGAGAATCAATTCTGGGGTGGGATCCAGGCTCAAGGAGAGATAGGTGATTGGTTAAGGATGTCTGCCACGGTACAAGATTAGCATCATTTGGTGTATCTGTGATCCCTCCTTTTACACCTCACTTTAAATATAAGCAAAAAGAAGCCAGAGAGGTCAGGGGTGATGCCCAAAGACTCTTGGTTAGCAACCCAACCTACGAGGCTGCAGGGAAGAGATGGAGGGAGGGAGGGAGGG